GTTCAAGTTCTGCTAATTCACAAGCCTAGTGAGAGTCATGCTCGCAAAGAAGGTCAAGTTAACTATTAAACCAACCAAATCAAAACTTTCAAAAACACACAGCAATGTGATTCTTTTATTGAGTGAGAGTCAGTGGGTTTAATCAGTGACATTAACAGATTTACTATTCGGCGTCTTCTCCGCGACCTCCTTCCCTTGGAGTTTTTACACATAAAAGGCAAAAAAACATATTGCATTGTCCAGTTTTCTATCAGAACGATGATCTGAGTTACTATTGCAATTATCGATGCAGTATGAATGACATACACTGGTGACATTTTTCACAATCACGACAAACAATCAAATACTGCCCTAAACTCAATAGCGGAAAGCCAGCGCTATCCTGCAAATATGGCGGATAAACAAAGCAGTTTCCCAGAACTCAACGCGGCGTTACGTCACATTCTCATTCTTTATTGTGTAATTGCAATGATTTTAAATTAAACTAATACCTTTATTTATTTGAGGATGGGATTCATGTGCCCCCTGCAGGTGGATTAAAATAAAGAAACTGTTCATTTGGAAACATCGTCCTGCATATACAATTTTAAAAAATACTGTACTTCACTGGATGTGTCTCACTTTTGAATATTTATAATTATTTGGACACCTTTGCTTTTTTAAGTTTTTATTTAAAACTCAGTACTAATCAAATGAATAGCAAAGTTTAAATAGATAAATGATTAAATACATCACAGTGATAGAAAATACTTTTTTGTTTCTGTAACTGTTTGTCTCCTCAAGTGTTCAGCTAGTGTTTCGTGGCTTTTTAAAGTCCTTGTGTATACTACACCCCGGCTGTCATGGCACTCCAGGGCATTTAAATTTGTCTCTTCCCTCCTCCTTGTTTTTGTTTTTTTAATTGATCTCCCCTCATCCCATCCCATTGTGCGCCATTGCGCTAAGTATTCCTATCTGGGTTATGTCTACTCTGCTCTTGGTTTCTTCACATACTGTTTTCCTAGCGTGTTCGGCTCTAGTCCTGTACGTCTTTGTGAATTTGTGTTGATTTATTAGCTGCATGTTTGTTCAGTCACAGTCATCCTGTCATTTAGTTTTTGAGTTTTGAGTATCAGGGGCTCTGTGCGTTTGCTCCAGGCCACAGTGGAGAACATCATGAATGAGAAGATGCCCAAGAAAGGAGGACGCTGGTGGTTTTCATGGAGGGGAAGAAACAACAGCTCCAAATCAGTATGTTTGCAGTATTGCATATAGGAAATAATTGTGAATTGAATTAAGGGTGAAATGTTACCAGATTTTTTCCAAGACTTTTTGACTTTGCAGGTTTGCAAATATTATGCAAAAAAAAGCATGTAAATCAAAATGTAACTGAATTACTATCATTCCTTCTGCAACAGGAATCAGCATCTGACCAGATTGAAGGTGGAGAGGATTCTATAAGAACAGCATCTGTGAGCAGGTACCTAAAGAATCACATTTAGAAAAACCAAACATCGTTCTGGCTATTAGATGAAAGGCTCATCTTCTGCACTTTTTGAGCATTTTTCAGCTTAAGTTAAGTTATAAATATAATGTTAGGGCCTGTTCACACTAACACAAATGTTTGGCATGAAAATTTGGTTCAGTTTTTGCATTTGATATATCTATTCAGACCAATGCAAAAAACAGCATGGTGTTTATAACACAACACCAAATACAAGAGTACAGAGACAGAAAAGTTATATTTTCGCTTAGCAAAATAGTCAGTTCGTGAGCACCCAAGTGCAAATTTTATTGGGTGGCCAGTTTCTTTGCAGCGCAGTGGAAAAGATATATTTTTTTACCTTCCTTTAAAAAGTGTTGCATTAATGGCATGCAAATATTTGTGTCAGTCTGTAAAGACAAATTAACAGCCATTCATTCAAATTAAAACGTTTATTGCACCGAACTTTCATGTTGGTGTGAACATGTCTTTCATCAACAAGGTCTCTCACATCCAAAAGTTATGATTAAGTTTAACACAAACATATTACTCCATCTCTCAGGTATTTAATTAAACAGACTTAAACAGAATTACAGTTTTTGGTACTGTACCTTTAAGACTTTTATAGACAGTAACTACAAAATCAGGTTTTAGAACAGGAACTAAATTTTAGAATATGAGCTCAGATGCAGAGACAACTGTGTGACTTATCAAACAAAACATATTTTAGAATACTGAGAATGTAGATTATTTATAGAGTACACCACATTTTCATTTTAACTGTGGACTGGCTGGTGATATTTTTCATAGATTAAAGGATGAATCATCATCCAGTGAAGATGACAGTGAAGGTGCTAAACAGAATCCTGTGAGCAATCAGCCTGAAGTTCTCCACAGCACTGGAGGCCACTGCTACAGGAAGACTCTTCGTTTGTCCTCAGAAGAACTAGTAAGCATCTCATTTTCCATAAAGCCTGTAAAGTCAGTCAGTCACAGACAATGCTATGGAAACCCACGCTACAAGCATGTTCTTCACAGGCCAGTCTGCACTTAAAAGATGGCCCCAATGATGTGGTCTTCAGCGTCACCACCCAGTACCAGGGCACTTGCCGCTGTGAGGGCACCATTTATCTGTGGACCTGGGATGACAAGATAGTGATTTCAGATATTGATGGCACCATCACAAGGTGAGACTACTCAAGACAACTTTCTGTGGCAATGTAATGGGTTCGTCGGATGAAAAATGAAGATACAGTCTAAATTGCAAAATCTCCTTCAGGTCTGACACCCTGGGACACATTTTACCCACTCTGGGTAAAGACTGGACCCATCAGGGCATTGCCCGTCTCTACCACAGAGTCAGCCAGTGAGTCCCACACCACATAGAGAGCATGTACATTTATTAAAGGGGTCATAGGATGCCCATTTTCCACAAGTTGATATGATTCTTTAGGGTCTTAATGAAAAGTCTGTAACATAGTTTGGTTAAAATTTCTCAATGGTAGTGTAAAAAACCCCTTTTTTACCCTGTCAAAAAAAAACATTTCTTTTCAGATCAAGCCATTTTTGTAGCATTTTCCTTTAAATGTTAATGAGCTCTGCTGACCCCGCCCCTCTCCTCCAAGCTGCTCGCAGAGAGCCTGTTTACTTTAGCCGCATTCATCGTGAAACTTGCTAATTAGCACATTATTAGGAAATGCGATTTGCAAAGATTCATTACAAAACATTATACTCACTTCTTCTGTAGATGAGACTGGATCATGAATGATTCACGCGAACATAGACGCATTTAGGTAGATGGGGGGAGCATTCCCTTCAGAAACAAACAAAATCCACTGCGAGTTCAGCGGCTCAGATGTC